ATATATATATAAACATATATATATATATATATATATATATATATATATATATATATATATATATATATATATATATATATATATATATATATATATATACAATAAAGGTTGTCCTTTGCAAACCTTAAACTTTAAAACCTTAAACCTTAAACTCAACGCGCGCAAAGCATGATGGGAGCACTAATTTCAAGTATAGTAGTTGATTATTGCGGCTTTTGTCAGTGAAATGTTTTTGCAGGGAGATATTTATCATGGCTCCAAGAAATGGGCTCCATATATATGCTTTCTAAACTGCTTAAATCGTGCTCCCATTATGCTTTGTGGAAGCTCATCATCGGTGCACTGTGCTGATGAGTCCCAAAAAGGGCGAAACAGCTGTCCACAGTTGCCGTTGTTTGAGCTTTCCTTGAAGGGCGCTACAATGTCTTTACTTATGTGTTTTATCGCCGTTTTTAAACTGTGAAATGCAGTGAGCGTGCGCATAAAGGCTTAGGCATAATGTGTAGTATATAAAGTTCTGTAGTGTCCCACATCCACCACACTGTCTTCTATATATATATATATATATATATATATATATATATATATATATATATATATATATATATATATATATATATATATATATATATAATATATATATATACTATATATATATATATATATATATATATATATATATATATATATATATATATATATATATATATATATATATATATATGGATTAGTAAAATTCCCATTTTTGAACAAGGTATTTGTTTTGTATTTAATTCACCTAAAAATTTGCATGATAAAATGGATCTATTTTCTGTATTTAATTAATTTGGTGTCATATAAAGCAAATACTGAATACTCGGCTGTCACCTCATGGAATGAGTTTATTTATTTTATTTTACAATCTTTGTTACATGACCCACAGAGCTAGTTGCTCCTTTACGGGTAACCTGCTAATGCAATACTGAAATATAGGTTACAGTGCGTCTACTGTAAGTGGGGCCACTTAGAGAACACTAACCAATCACATTGCAGAACAGAAAGTGAAAAAATCAACAAACGGCGCATTAGCCAATCAGCATTAGGGCAAAAACAATTCGAACAAATAAACGAATGTCAAACGGTAAAAATAGACATGTAAAAGTAAACATTGCAGTTAATGGCTTGCTGAATCTTTCTTTTGATTGGACGAGCTTTAGTTTGATTAGATTTTTCTTTTTGTTCTGCAATGCGATTGGTTAGTGTTCTCTAAGTGGCCCCACTTACAGTAGACGCACTGTAACTCAGTGGATATATTTCTTTCACCTCAGAAACATTCATTATTTGTATACTAATACACTATTCACTAATCATTAATTAACCCTGGGGTCACAGAATAGAGACATGTGCGCTTACAAGATGCATTCACGCCCCTCAAATATTCAAATGGCAGGCATTCAGGGGGGTGAATGTCTCTTGTAAGTGCACTATGATGATGAATCATTGCATGATGTGGCAGTGGTTACACTTGTTTGGCTGACTCAAAGTCCTGTGTGTCTGTGAAGATTCTGTGCTGGAGTCATGCAACCCAAAGACACCCCTGTATGGCCTGTAGACCAATATACTCAACCCAAGTTTATAGTTTGACCACCCAAAAGGAAACAGGGAAACATTGTAATATATTCATGTTATTCACTATAGTCATTATAATGCTAATTGGCATATATAAACACTGGTCTGAAGTTGAGTGCACTAGAACTTGGTTTCAGATGGAATTAACCTTAAATAATGGTCTTTATTTCTTAGGGTTCTGGTTCCGGCCAGAACTGATGAAAAAAAGAATGGCAGGAACCTCAACTCTGCCTCCATTAATGAAAGAATACTAACAGTAACGTTCATTTATTGAAGATAAACATTCACCAAATATTCGGACGGATCACATTAGTGACATTATTTTAATTACATAAACATATACTACCCAGTAACCATAGATATCATCCATTCCAAGATACGTCCCTCAGGATTTAAGTGTATGTCTGTATGACAGCGGACAAAGTAACGCATAAAGTTAATGGTTAAATAAACTCGGTCCAGGGTGCAATAATCCGCGTACTAGAGGTAGGCCAGTATTACCGTCTGGTACTTCTTTGTTTTCAGCCAAGTAACAGTATCTGCATACTTACATTTTGCTGGTACCATATACTTGTAGCCTGAAAACTTTCCAAACCCAAGGTATTCATATTAATATAAAGTAACTATATGTAATTATTGTGTAACCATTAGCTGCTGGAAACAATTCTGAGCTGAAATATGAAGATGTACTTTATGTGTAACATGAGTCACGTAACATGAGTCACGTGTATTATATAGCAATCATTACTATTCTCTTGTAATCCAAAATATAAAATTTCTTTGTGTTGGTAGTTTGCCTAACATATAGTCTGTTACATGATAGACATTGTATGTTTCTCCTCCCTATGGTTCTGAAGAAATTCAAAAGTAGTTACAGCAGGTTGGTGTTTATACCTCATGTCACTTTGTCGTAACATGAGTCACACACCAGTTTACGGCCACCAATCTTGCCATGTTATAATCAAATGTTTAATTTTTACCGTGAATCAGTAGCTTACCCTTATTTGTACCTGCATGCAAAAATACGACAGAAAAAAGATATTAGTTATTACACCAGATAAAAATTACTCTGATAGTTTGGTTTATGAATGTAATTACCCAAGTCCGACATGTTTTGGCAGGAAACATGATTGGACTGATGGGATGGATGACATGGGGCTACTGTAAAAATGTTGCAGTCAATTTCGATTCTTGGTGCACCCCTAGTGTCAATACCCTGGAGCCTTGTAATCCTCTTTTAGAGAGGTTAGCTGAACAGGAAGCAGTGGCGTAAGTAACTTCGTTACAAATAACTAAATAGTAAATGACAGTAATCGTTACTTTTTAAGAATTTTACAGTACGTGTAACGGTAACTACTTACGTTTTGAAAAGCGGTAACTGTAACTAGTTACATTTTGGCTTAACACGATATAACGCGTTACTTTTTTGGCCAACATTACTTTTTTCGTTTCATTTTCACGTTTAAATATAGTATTTGCTATTTTCTTTATACTATCAACTTGCATTATGTTAATGTGATCGATAAACTGATTCACTCTTCAACAACTCTGCCTATTTGCCGTCTTGCAGCTGGGTTATCCTATTGTTTTCAGGAATTTAATTGAACTCGCTGTCAATGTAATTATTAAAACCTGCAGATGTAAAAGTTTGAAAGTAACTTTCTAACTATAATTACAAAAATGGTGTTCAAGTAACTTTGTAACTGTAACTAGTTACATTTTTTATGTGTAGTTTTACTGGTAACTAGTTCCTTTCTTGAGCATGTAACTGTAACTGTACAGATTAACTAGTTCCAAAAAATAAGTAACTTTTACAGCAATGACAGGAAGATAGGTACTGTGACATACACAGCCAGAAACGCCACAGACTTGCTGCAAGTTGCGGATTTTACCGACCTGTTGCAAGTTGTCAACAAGTTGCAGCAGGCTTGCTGCAAGTTGACATTTGCAGACTTGATGCAAGTTGACGATACAAGTTGCATCAAGTCTGCAAATATCAACATGCAGCAAGCCTGATAGAACAACTTGCAGCAAGTCTGATGAACGCATCAACGCTGATGCAAGTTGATAAAATCAAGCTTGTTGCAAGTAGTCTGCAGTTCACAACTTGCATCAAGCCTGCAGTTCACAAATTGCAGCAAGCCTGCAATTCACAACTCGCATCAAGTCTGCAGTTCACAACTTGCAGCAAGTCTGTTGACAACTTGCAACAGACTTGATATTATCAAGCTGGAGCAAGCGATGCGAACGTATCCTGATATCGGCTTTATGAGCGCAAGTTGCATCAAGTCTGCAGCATGCAGACCTGCTGCAACTTGCGCGTTTCTTGCTGTGTAGGCTGAAACATGTATGCTTGAATGATTATTATACTGCCATCTGTCAATGAAATCAAGTGACAAGAGTTTGTTTATTTTTAATAGGTGGTATTTGCTGCGACAGTGTATTCGTGACATTTCCAGGACACATTTTATAAATTCCTTGAACATGTCTACAGAAGATAAGAATTTTGGCCAAAAAATACAGTCCCCTTTATTGAAAGATGTTTTAACCCCAGAATTGCTTACAGTTACAACTGCCTTTCAAGAGAGTGGCTACGATATTCGTCTTGTCGGCGGGGTTGTCAGAGACTTGCTTCTTGACGTACCCTCAAAGGATATAGACCTGAGTACAAATGCCACTCCAGAACAAATGAAAGATGTATTTAGCAAAAGAGGAATCAAGTTTATAGAGACTGGTTTGGAGCATGGAACGTTAACTGCGCATATTAACCATCTTGACTTTGAAGTCACAACATTGAGATACGACACAGAACAAGACGGGCGGTGGGCGAAAGTTGTTTTCACTAATGATTGGACACTTGATGCAGAACGACGGGATCTTACAATCAATGCAATGAGCATGGATACTGAATGCACCTTATATGATTACGTCAGCGGTGTAGAGGATCTCAAATGCCGTCGGGTTAGGTTTGTAGGAGATTCAAGACTGAGAATCAAAGAAGATTACCTGCGGATTCTGCGATATTTTCGTTTTTATGGTCGTATAGCAACAGGTGCAGATAAACATGACGAAGAAACACTTAAAGTGATTAAGGAAACGGCGTTTGGTTTGGAGAAAATTGCTGTTGAAAGGATATGGATGGAACTGTCCAAGATATTGGTTGGAAACTTCGCTCCTTCCATAATGAAGCATATATATGACCTTGGTGTGGCTAAGCATATAGGTAATATTATAAACTAGGTACGCGGACGTTTGGCCCGACAGACATTAGGCCGACTGACTTTTGGCCGACAGATGTTTTGCCGACAGGACATTTCACCGACAAAACGTTTCGCCGACAAAAAATTTCATTGTAATTTAATGCATAAAATAACTGTGAACGTGCAAACATTTATTGTATCATATAATCTTTCACACATATTTACAGGTTGTGCAATAACACACATTTATAAGTTAGGTGCTATTCTCATTAGCACGTATATAGTCCAAAAGGACGTGGACGTTTAAGTCCAAATCCCTTACACAATGGCTTTGAGTCCGTACCTGAGTGATCCTTTCGTTTTTAGTTATAAAAAGAGACATCACCCGTAGCATTATTTTAGAAAATAAATTTCCAAAAGTCCTATCGGTTAAATGTCCTGTCGGCAAAATGTCTGTCCTGTCAGCCAAATAGACCTTATGCATAATGACGTCACAAGGCTTGATGCACGCGAGGAATACTGGTCTTAGTCAGGGACGCCGGAACGATGTGAAGGCAAGGGGGGCAGATTTTCGTGAAAGGGCACTTTTGAATTGATATATACTAAGAGATGTTTGCAAAACATCGGGAGTTGAACTTCGTCTAATCATGTTTTCTATTTATTGGATGATAGGGGTGTGAGGGGGTTCTCCACCAGGCGATTGTGCTATTCTTGAAGCTCGATGATGGCATTTCTTGCGTTTTCTGAAGCAAATTCGTAAAAGAATCGCACTGACATTTCTGACAATTCGCTATTTCGCCAAGGCAATCCTTTAAATTGAAAGGGCACCTTTGCCCCCCTTGCCCCTCCTGGTAAAGGGCAACGGGGGCGGCTGCCCCTCCTGCCCCCCCCCCCCCAGTTCCGGCGTCCCTGGTCTTAGTAGTCATCGCCTGGAAAAATTTCGATAGTGGCCATTTTGAATTGTTTAATTTTCCCGGGCGATGACTACTAAGACCAGCATTCCTCGCGGGCATCAAGCCTGTGACGTCATTATGCGTAAGGTCTATTCTGTTTGTTGATGAAATCATTTTACTATGGTGAGAATGAGATGAGCGACCACATTTACTTAAATGTGTTTCTTTCTTGAAAACAGGAAACGTTATGTGCAGTGTATACACAGTAACTATGTGATAATGATATTTTTTAAAGATAATGTAAATTATTTCACGACAACTTTTTGAGTAGAAAGTAGTATAGTCTGTTGTATTTTCACGCAAAGAAGTTGCCGGCTATCAAAATTTAAAGTTTTGAATAAGAGTAAGGAAGGCTAAGGGCGGGCAGGCATTAAAATGTGCGAGTGTGCAAATCTCTTTTTAACACTGTTTAGGTTACAAAATCTAAAAAAAGATGCTTGCAGTCACAAGAATATTTAATGAGCTGACTAACAACGACCGTGCTCCACCATGGCCGGATCTTGAGGGGAGGTGTGGGGAGGTGCGCACCTCCCCTGAGATCGTTTAATTTGCACCTCCCCTGAGCATTTTTGCACCTGCTCTGAAAAGTCCTGCACCTCCCCTTTGGAAAGTTTCAATGATAGATCAAAGTAAAACTTTGACATTTTTTGTTGCTTATAGGGTCTACACTTCGTAAGAAAGTTTCTCTGTAAAATTGAAACAGTGCTAGCTATTCATCTCTATGTCAAGTACCCTTTTAGTAATTGTAATGAAGGGCAAAATGCCAAAATTGGATGAGTTGTACAGTCATAATTCATTATACACTGATACATAATGTACACTACATGCATACGCCAGGTTGTTGATTTTGACCGGTTCTAGGCCTTAACTTTCTATGGGGGTCATAAGCTAGACCGCTGCACCTCCCCTAATTTTTTTTCCACCTCCTCCACTATTTCCACCAAAATCCGGCCTTGTGCTCCACTAGACCTAACCAAAGAGCCAGGGCCAAAGGAAAATGAGAAGTTTATATATATTGCAATTAATTTGATTTGATAATTATTTTATCTTATTATATCTTTTTCTTATTATATAGGCCTTCCAGACGTATGTCCAGCAAAGCTTGAAAAATTTGAAACGGTATGGTGTAGAATGAAAAATTATACGCCTCAGGCAGTTACATTATTGGTATCACTAGTCGACGATGTAGAAATCGTTGATTTGCTGGCGAAGAAATTAAAACTATCCAACGCAGAAAAACAACTTGGCAAGTTTGTTGCAACTCATAGAGAGCTACCTGATCATGCAGACTTTCCACTTAAGCCATATCAAGATATCCTGGTGTGCTGCCCAGTAAAATGTGTTGAACAGCTTCGTCGTCAGGTTGTCGAGTTACTATATTATAAAGGTAAATCTGAACTGGTTAAGGACATCACTGAATGGCAAATACCAGAGTTCCCAGTCAATGGAAATGATTTAAAACAGTATAATATTAAGCCTGGACCAAACTTTGGCAAAATATTAAACCGTCTTAAAGAAATGTGGAAGGAAAGTTATTATACGTTGTCAAGGCAAGAACTTCTTGAGAAAGTGAACGGATTACTGCAAAACTAGTTGTTATAATTAAAGGAGACTGCAATACTATTGAATGTGGTAAAGGCCAGTTTCCACGACAGCGAAATTCTTCGTTTTATTTTCTATCAGACTGAGTGTGATTATATAGTTCTATAGTACATGAAACAAAGAAATACGCCGTTTCAATTACGAAATGGTATAAAGCTTGTTCCACCTCAACCGTATATATACATGTCGTATCGCGACATAGCGTAATTTCTGTTTCCTAAGAACTCGTGTGGACGTTGATATGGTAAAAGTAGAAAACAGGCTAAAATGGAAACAGACAACAGTCTGTAAGAAGTCATACATTATATAGGCCTACGCGTCTATATAGGCATGCCGAAGCAGCAGCCAAACTTAACTGGCTATTTTTGACATTTTTGTGTGTGTTTTTCTCGAATACCACTGGTATTGTGTATATTAACTGTAACACGTTCCTGTAATTTCTGTTTTTAAAATGTTTGGAAGTATTTATCTGGGAAATTTGTCATGCAAGACAAGTAAACTCGCCAAGTTCATCTAGAGTCAGTTGTATCCACATTTTTCGCACATAATATATTAGGTTATAGGGATGTGATTGTGGTCAAGATAATAAAAAATAAATATATTCGTGCGCGAAACGTGAGGATATATGTTACCGATAATACGTCATTGGTTGTTCGTCTTTGTTTTGGTTTAGGTATATGCTCCCTTTCTCGTCACGTATACGTGTTGTACAGACAATGGACCATTTGCCTTATAGACTAAATTTTGATATCTAAACAAGTCTATATAGACAAAAATTGCATCACAGCTTAAAAGAGCATCACAAAATTAGTAATATTCCAAAGTTTCGTTGCGAAATGTTGTAAAATGCGGATAATATGTATAGCCTTGCGAAGTTTGCTGTTTTTCAGTCATTTTCTATTACAAACTGGAAATTGACAGCCCCAAAGGGTATTGGGCTGTCAATTTCCCCCGCGTAATGTAAAATGACTGAAAAACGGCAAACTTCGCAAGGCTATATTATCCGCATTTTACAACATTTCGCAACGAAACTTTGGAATATTACTAATTTTTTTATGCTCTTTCAAGCTGTGATGAAATGTTTGTCTAGACTTGTTGAAATCAAAATTTAGTTTATATTAATGCAAATGGTCCACGCCAGTCATTGTCATTGACAAACGTGGACAAAAAACTATATACGCACATGACCAGGAAAGATTGGCAAATATGGATACCTCTTTGTTTTCAGCCACCGCCACGCACCACGTAGGTACGCGGAACTCTTGCTATCTGCGTACTTAATAACTTTTTGCTGGTACCACATGATTATTCCAAATATTCCAAACCCAACGTATTCAATACCGTAATAAAAGTTTGTATATGTGTATAAGTCTGACATGTCTTGGCATATGAAACATGATTGGACTGATAGCACACTAAGGCATGTTGAGGTTGATAGGCCTACTCTGGGACCTTAACTCGCCGCGAGATAAGGCGAGCCTATGCGAGTTAATTAAGGCGAGATAAGGCGAGTTAAGGAAAAATCTGGCTACTGACCCTTGCGAGTTAAGGCGAGTTAAGGCGAGTTAGGGCGAGTTAAGGTATGGGACCTTAACTCGCCACGAGATAAGGCGAGCCTATGCGAGTTAAGGCGAGATAAGGCGAGTTAAGGAAAAATCTGGCTACTGACCCTTGCGAGTTAAGGCGAGTTAAGGTCCCTGCAGAGTAGGCCTGTTGATTGTTTGTATAATTGTATATGCAATAGACCTTTCCCCTTCTGAATGAAATTTTGATCTAGACAAGTCTGGACAAAAATTTCATCACAGCTTGAAAGAGCATCACAAAGAAAGAGCATCCGAAGTTTCGTTGCGAAATGTTGTAAAATGCGGATAATATAGCCTTGCGAAGTTTGCCGTTTTTCAGTCATTTGGTATTACAAACTGGAAATTGACAATCAGATGATCAAACTGATGCAAAATGTTAGATTGTAAAATGCAAAATGATTGAAAAACGGCAAACTTCGCAAGGCTATAGTATCCACATTTTACGACATTTCGCAACGAAACTTCGGAAAATTACTAATTTTGTGATGCTCTTTCAAGCTGTGATGAAATTTTTGTCCAGGCTTGTCTAGATCAAAATTTCACTCATAAGGGGAAAGGTCTATTGGCTAGTATTGCATGTGCCTCTTTTTGTACCTACAGTTGTAGTTTAAAGTATACTGTACTCAAAAACCTGTACTTTTTGTGTAAAGACTAAGTGCACATTAAATATTGATTTTGTATTAGCGGCAAGTACACGGGAACAATAATTGGCGTACCAGTCAGATACGACTAAAAATCTTGGATCAATATCATCACACCCTACTCTTTCACTTCAGATGTATCGTATCGAAGCGTATTTCTTTATTTCCTCAGCACTAGAGTGGAACTAATTATTTCGACATAAAAGTAAATGCTACGATACGTTGATCGGTTGAAGTGGAAAAGGCCACATCCACAGGTACTGCAAACACTTCGTACTGTGTCTGCAAACACTTTGTTACGGATAGTTAAAAAAAAATACGCACCTCACGTATCCTGATTGGTGTCATGCATCTTTGAAAGTCCAAGCCATCGCCATCGAATGTAATGAGCCCACGATGTAGTCGTTGGTGTTATTCTCACTGTGATTTTTGCTTGGTTAAGTTGCAAGAAAAACCGAGCAATCCGCTAATTGTACTTCTTCGAAAATTCCTTCGTTTTTGTTTGGCTGCCGAACGTCGGCTAACTATAAACAAAGACGAAAAACGTGCGAAATTTTATTCCTTGTTATGAGCGTATACGATCAAGAAACATCGAATTTGGGAGGAACGGCGCTACAGTGCGGAAGTAAAAAGATCTT